AAAATGGAGACATGATGAATAAGACAACGCAGAAGTGGCTTATGAAGAGGAAGACAAAAATGATGAAACAGTCGACAATTAGAGATCAATCAGGAAAAAGTGACTCACTTCACAAAATGTCCCGATTTCAAGAGACATTTGAAGATAACATCAGATCATTATTTAGTGAAAAATATAGACAAGTGGATTCCTGATTTTGAAGAAATATTGCAGATGACGGGACGGAACAGTTTGCAGAAATCGATATTTGTGAGAAAATCTTTGATTGAATTAAAAGTACCTAGTTTATCCAGTCGGAGAACCGATGAATCCAGTCATGAATTGTTTTAAAAAGAAAGTTGCTTGCTGAGATGAATGAATGAGCACTTCACGGAAAGTGTTCTATAACGGCGTTCATGATGCGGGAGATGGGAAACAAGGCGTCAATAGCTGAAATTATTATAATTATGTAATGAAGGGGAGTCTCAGTAATTCAAACAAAAAAAAAAATCAATAATATGCAGCGATATTTTTTTACGTAGGTATTCAAATTAAAATTGAAGTTGTATGAAAAAATAAAGCCTAGAAGAGCAAAGAAACAAATCAGATGAGAAGAAAAATTTTAACGTAGGCAACGAGAACAAAATTTACACAGTAATTGTTTAAGTTGTTCCAAAATCACTTTTGAAATCATATAGTGAAGATTTTGAGCTTTTATTTTACGTGATTACATCAGACGCAACCAATTTTAGAGTGATTCTACGACAAGCAGAAGTATATAGTGAGGACCTAAAGTACGGCCGCCCCTGCTAATGTGTGGACGCAGTCAGGTATTCAATTTGTACTAATGAGTGCGTCCCGAAGTTAGCAGGTCGTCGCTGTATATAGGTGAAAAAGGTATAATGGTTTCCACGAAGAAAGAAAGAAGGTTTTCAATGAACATGATCCTTGATGAAGGAAACAGTGACGGATCAGACTTTTAATTCGCATATCAAGTGGGATGAAAATTTAAAAATTGTGTCAGATTTGGTAATAAACTACAAACCAGCAAAAAGTTGAGACTAAGAACATTTGAATAAAAAAGACAGTTATAGCCAATGAGTACCTGACCTCTTGAGAAATGATATGAGCCATTCGAATGGAGAGATATGCAAAAGCAACAGTGAACACTCAGCAGTATCAGACCACAACGGAGAACGGCAATTGTGGCATGTTAGCTCAAGAGAAAGAACATCGATATCGCTGGACTAAGTGAAACACGAGGTGCGGGCGAAGGAATGGAGTATCTTATTACTTCTGAAAAGAAAATAGTTATGAGCTCCAAGTCCATGGGATAGGCTTTGCTATAAATAACCAACTCGGCGATCATCTTGATGAGATTCCTTCTGAGATAAGAGGAAACTCGGAAAAAAACTCATGGATCCCGATGAGGATAACATAGAAAGAGTTCTTTAACCATCTAGATAATCTTAACAGGCATACAACGATCAGATAAAGTTATTTTGCTCGGAGACTCCAATTCACGAGTCGGCAGAGACCCGCTCTCTGGTCAGGCACCATTGGCGAGTAGGGCATAGTCTCTCAAATGTTATCCTTCTATCGGGCAAATGCTAACTCTCGGAAAGAGTAGACTGAAAACAACGTGGCGTAGCAACATCGGCCAGTGTAGTTCGCAGTTTTAATGTCAAGCCCCGCACCACGCCAAAGTACCATTGATGACGTAGGCAGTGTGTCGTTTCTCGCTTTGACGTAGGGTGTTTGCACCACAGGCTATGATTCTGCTGGCTTGGTTTTGATACATTAATTAACATTCTAAAACAACCCCTTTTTAGATCTCATTTGCATCTTCCTCTTTGCTTATCATGTTAATCAAAATTAAGTAATATTTTCCATCATAATGTATATTCTGAACTAGGACCGCTGGAGCAAACAGCTGATGACACCGTTGATGACGTCGGAAACGGTGCAACACCATATGACCTTGATTCCAAAAATCGACGCCGATGAACCATCCTGTATAGTAATGTGTAATATCCTTGCCAAAATACCACCAAAAAATGAAGGAAACAACCACAACGTCAACGCACGGTAAATATGCAGTGACTTAAAGACGAGCTTAAAGATGACTGAAATGTCATTTTCTGAAATGGCATATACCTATTATAGCTGCCCCAATTAGAAATTGTCAAATTGACACCTTCTCCCATATCAAAAGGGTAATCAAAAAGAGGGCAGATGAGGATGAGACGTGAATAAGTTCAACCGTTGTTCAACTCATTATCTATACTTTATCAGAACAGTAGCTACTAAATTCTCCAAAGCTTGAAATGAGTTAAATAGAGAATTATTTTCAAAGGAATTTAAGAGAGCAGACCGGTTTTCTAGCCATCAAAGTGTGTAGATTGCTCTGCCTTTTTTTCTGCTATGGCCTTGATTTTATCTAGTGTGGCTGGAAACCAAGAGGTCATTAAACATGCATTGCTTTAGTTGACATACGATATAATGGATGTCAATTATACCAAACTGATACAGCACGAATACGGAGAATCTGCGTGAATCAGCCTTAACGCTTTTTTTTTTCGTCACTATTCCTGTACGCCTGTAATGATACATTTCATCCGCCATACTGTCAGGAGCATCACGAAAACGCAGACTCGATAAATAAGAATATGTTTGCATAGACTATTAAAAAAATAAAAACACGAAATTCTCTTATCAGAAAATGCATATTAAAATATTATTTTGAGACTACTAAGTACAAGATTATTTTTCATTAAACCTTTCGTTGCAGATTTCGCCCGTTCACCCGCAGGCAAATCTTCATTTTTTCTTATGGTAATAATTTGAAATCCCTAAATTTACCATAAAAGCGAAATGACTGTGACCTGAATCTAGGCTAGGACCATATATGTTAGTTCAAAGTCAAACAGTGCCGGATTAATTTATTTTTCATAAGGTACCTAGGTATGTATCAATATGGGAGATACTATTTAGCCGCGTTAATTTAAAACAAACTGATTTCTCTTTATTTTGTTCTACAACCACTTCGTTATACTAATATTAGGTACATACCTAAAATAGAAGATAGGTACTTTTTTAATTTTATCCAAAGTAAAAGTTATAGTTTATCGCATTTTCTTTATTTTTGTTGCTATTTGAATTACGAATTACCTATACGCTAAAACACAAGTAGAAGGTGGGCCGAAAACTTTGACATGAGAATACAACGAGCCAGAGGAAACAGACAAACAGCTTGACAATAAAAACAAAAAAAATATCCCAACAGAAGAAATAGGTAGCCATACTAATGAATAGATTAAAAAAGAAGAAAATATAAGACCTATTTAAGTTTTTCTAAACTTTTCAAATAAATCCTGTAGGGGGAGTGCAAAATTTTGAAGGTATTTGAACATATTTGAACAGCCCTGTATATGTGTTAGGCACCTACATTGCATATAGGGCTTACCTACTTTGATTGAAGAAAACAGGAATCAAAAAAACTAAAATATCGCTTCACGAAAAGCCTTTTGAACCTCACCAAAGTAATAGAAACATGGACAATAAGAGAAAGAAAAAACTGATGTAAGGCTGCTTGGAGAGAAAAAATACTTCATAGTTTATACAAAGGTGTTTGGAAAACGGGACCTGGTTAAGGTAACTATAATTTCAAACTCAACCGGAAAGTCAATAGAATAGATAAAGATAGGTTGGCCACCTAGAACAGATGAAACACATGCAACCCCCAAAGCAAATATTTCTCCAAAGGTCGGCTGGGGCACGAAAGGAAAAAGGTCTAGATCAAGTTGAAAAAAAAAGACTGAAATACTATGAGTCAGAGACTGAAAAGCCAAGGCGAGAGACAAAAATAAGAAAAGGAATAGAAGTGACAAGTCAAGACCCACCCTGGGTTGTAGCACAATTTTCCAACCTGGATTGCAGCGCCAGGAATAAAAATGGAAATTATTGACATAGTAGTTAATACGACGACGGAAGAAGGATAGAAGGCAAGTGAAAAGTCATACGGACAAGGAAAGGATAAACGAATCTCACCCAAAAAAAAAGCCCAAACTCAAAATGAATTAAGGAGTGAGAATAAATAATATAAAAATAAAGAATGAGCAGGTCTGAAGAATGCTACATAAAATAAAATTAATTTCACCATCCAAGGATAAAGCTGAAAAATCGTTCCCTGTTAAAACAAAATCTCACATTCCAGGGCGGTAGAAGTAAAAAAAAAACTTTAAAAATTTTACATGGATAATGATTTTCCGAACTCAAATAAGTTGAGCCAGTAGACCTACTTCAAAATACAAGTAGTGTGATGACTAACTATTATTTGAACTAGCGACATACAACATACATACAGCTCTTGAAATTTGGGACACATTTTTCAATTGTTATTTGTAATTGTCAAATTTTTTAAAAAAATAACACTTTTTAAAAAATGGAAGAAAATTCCTACCTACTTACTTTACTATAAAATTATTTCAGGAACACAATTAAACTTTAAACCCCGGTGCAATGTCAAGCACCTAGAATAAACATTTATTTCTTAGCCACAAACTTCCTTAGCCCTTCATTTTTATTTGGTTTTTAATTTCAAGACTGTTTACACTCCTGCGGGAAAATAGCTGATAAAGACTAAGGACCGTCATTCTAGGTAGATACCTATATCTGTTTATTATATCTGATTATCAGTACGGTTGAAAAAAACTAACTGGGAAACGTCTCAAATTAGATACTTAATTATTCTCTACAACAGTGTACGAAAATAGCCACAAATGTCAAGAACTTTCTAGTTTAATTTTGTTGTGGTCCGATTTTTTTTGCTTGAGCTTTATGACAAGGTAAGCAAAAAAGATTGCGAAAATAAAAACAAATTTACGAAAACATTTTTTTAGTCAAATCAATCTATCCAATAAGTTAGAGGGTGTACGCAAGTGGGAAACTAGCATGTAGACTCATGTAAAAGTAAGACGTTTTCAAATTAGTAAGGCTAGCAAACTCCAAGCAAGTCTTACCTAAAAGAATTAAATACACATAAAATAAAAACTAAAAACCAGTCCTTAGAATCATTGCACTTTAACAGTTTTCATTTGTGGTGCGAACGCGCAGCGCCAACTAAAGATATTTATAAAACTAAGAATAGAACACGGTCCGTCCATAAGTTACTTGTTTATAGAGATTGTCTCTTTTCATACATGTACCCCACTTTTTAAAAACTCGGATAACCTTTTATGTCGCTAATTTCACACGTTTGGGTACAAATATAAACCTACCATCATCATCATCCTCCATATATTTTTGCTCTCTCCCGCAGCAAAACGCTTACTCTGTGATCTAAATTTAAATTGTTTGACGTTGCGAGTTCAACCTGACATTGGCGTCCACAGGTTTTCACCTAGGGGTCAGTTTACAGTTTAATATAAATAGGTACCTATTTGAGTTAACGCGGTTTCGTTCTCGAACAACTTTTTCCAGCAGTTTTCAATTTTCACAGGATGGAATTACCGCGAGGTCGAAGACTATGGCTATATTCTCATCTACCTCTATTGTAGATACCTATCTAGAGAAACAATGTTCTGCATCCCCAAATATTGTAAAAATATTATTAGAGGTGTTCTTCGTGACATACTAAAAATCACATTTGCATGTTAGAATAGGTACCTGTGTTTTAAACGTGTTTTATTAATATTTGCACGAGTACAGCAAATTTTTGAAGAAGTTTTATTTGGATCGGATATTTGGGTATTTTTTCCAATGTTAAAATCGGCTGTGGGGCCATATTTTCGAATACTTATGTATAGTAGCCGCCATACATATTCGAGATTCTTACAAAAAAATATGTTCCTTTATTCAGGGACGTAGCGAAGGCCTCTGGTTTGGGGGGGAGTAACATTCCTAAATTTCCCAACTTTATTAAAACATTTGAAAAAAAAAAATGTTGACATGTATCTATTCTAGACACACAAATAATACAATCAAAAAAAAAAGGAACACTCTATAAGAAAAAAAAAAATGCAATCAAAAAAAAAAGGAACATTCTATAAGAAAAATAGGAAAAATGTTTGAGAAAACTATTACTTCAACTTAATACGTCTTTGCTTCAGATCTGTCCATTGATTTATGGCCTCGGTAAGATCTGCATTAACAAGATCTTTTTCACTTTTGATCATCATTAGAGAATCCAACCTCTCTGAAGTCATATTTGATCTATTAGTATTTTTCACGAATTTCAACAAACTAAATTTTCTTTCATTTGTTGCCGTAGAATATCCGGCTGTGAAAATTAATTGACATAACATAAATGCGTGCTTAAGGGGTATTTGATATTGAACTGCTGTGTCCATAACGCCTTGCATTGTGCTAACACTATGGCCATTACAAATATTAAAAAGAACCTCTAACTGCGCTTGTAGCGAATGCTCGTCTGGTCTAAAATTAGGGGGAAATAGCGCCACTATTTTTCGTAGAGATTGTCAAATTTTTCTCGGATAAGGGAAATTTGAAAATATTATCAATTCCTGATAAATTTCCCACTACAGGGGCCTGTTTCATAAAAAATATTAGTCTAATAATATTACTCTTTACCAAATATTATTAATGAAAATTATGAGTTGAGGTTTCAAAAAAAAAATTAGTAATATTATTAGTTATGAGCTTTCTTCTTAAAATATTAGTGATTTCTATTAGACTAATAAATTCATCAGTTTCATAAATAAATGAGTTTATTGATAAACACTGATATTATTTGTGAAAATCTATTAGCGCTGTGTCTATAATATTATCATTATTAGTCAACGACTTCGTTGCAAATAATAAAACTTAAAGTGTTTTGAGGTTCTTTCTCTCTACAAATAACAAATGTGTTGCAAAGCAAAGAAATAAAACTTGATAATAAATTGAGAGTGACTCAACCGATGAAGAAATAGAAGTTTGACTGAGGAGACCACGAATTTCCAAAAAACGAACTCCCTATTTATACATCGAAGAAACTTACGAGTTTAATGAAAGATTTAGGTTTTCATGAGAAAAAATTATTTCGTTCTTGGCCAAATTGAGCATCGTTTGGTGTGTGAATCATGTTCTAACACCCTAACACCAAAACAATGGCTTATGGTAGCACTTCGTTGGTTAGGCAGTGGCATGCAATATCATTGTATCGGAGACATTCATGGCGTCTCAAAAGCGACAGTGTGCAGAGTTGTCCACAGGGTTCTTTTGGCCATAAGTCGTACTCTACTTGGAGAAACTGTTTGTTGGCCAAAAGATGTTGTAAGAGTGATTCGACGAATTCAGCGTTATTGCTGGTATTCCATTGGTGTGTGGAGCAGTTGATGGAACCTTAATTAAAACAGATGCTCTTTCTGCTCACGAACCTGCATTTTTTGTCGATCGCCACGGAAATCATTCCTTAAACATTATGCTTGTATGTGGTCCATATTTGAAATTTTATTATGTTTGTGCTAATTGGCCAGGCAGTGTAAGTGCAAGAGTCTTACGAAATAGCTCGTTACGAGAAAGGATGGACGAGGGATACGATAAAAATACCGATTCACCCTCAGTTTTGCTTTTGAAAACTAGTTTTTTGGATGATTGTTGTTTGAGAGTCGCGGTAATGACTGACAATGTGAATTTTTAACTTAAAAAAAAAACACGCCACTAATGTGGTAATATTATTAGTGTTTGGATTTCATGAGTAGCGATGAAGTCTTTATGAAACAGAAAAAGCCTAGCTAATAATTTTATCTTATTAGACTAATATTATAAGCTAATAAAATTAAAAAGTTTTATGAAACAGGCCCCAGAGGACAAGTTATTTTTCAAAAATTGTATCAGTGTATCCAATACGGCCAAAAATTCTTTACGATAAAACATTTTCAGATCTAGATCTGCCGCATTATCAGCATTACTATCGATTCTTTTAGGTTTAAGTCGTCGCCTGTGATGTTTCCTGAACTCTTCTTGAGGTGAAAATCCTACAAAATATAATGGCGCTTTCAATTAAGTCATTAATATGGCTTTCATCAATTCTAATATTTGTAAGAGAATTAGTTGTACTCGATATAACTTGAACTGCATCTATGATATTGAGATAGTCTTCTTCTAATGTTTCCGTTACAATTTTCAATTTGTAAAAGATATTTTTTGTAAAGAATAAGGAGCAAATAAAGTCGAATGATAGTAGCAGTGGCGTAACTACCGAGGGGGCAGAGGGGGCTATGGCCCCCGGGCCCAGAGGCTTTTGGGCCCCATCCAAGGTCCCATGCAAAAGTAATTTTATAGTCAAAAAACATATTCGTACGATTCTTAGAATAATGTCTTACGAGACCTGATTGTAATCAAGAAAATATAGGAAAATCATTAAAAATTTTAAATTGAAGAAGTAGTCCATATTTCAAAGTGGAGTTGAAATTTAAATTTAAAAAAAAACTCTAAGTCTTCCTGGATATCGTAGACTCATAGATCATGTTAAAAAAAAACTCATTTAAATTTTTCAGCATTAGCATGATCTGGCAGCCCATGATATCCATTCTTGTTAACATTATGAGGTAATTTATTGCCCCTGATAATGGAATTTACTAATTCCGAAACATGTAGGGCCGTTTAATTTAAAACGAATAAAGTATTTGTGGAGGAAGACTTAGAGTTTCCCTTTTGAATTAAAAATTTTACTGACTCACTTATCTATTTACTACCCACATTTATTTGGAAAACGTATAGGTATTCCGCAAAAAGTAAAATCGCGATCGGTAATGTTAGCTGTTAGCGTGGAAGATGGTAGGCGGTTTCCGCAAAATTAGTTATTTGTGTACCAAGTCCGTAAAGTTGATCTTTTTTGGCCGAATCAGAAATTTCGGGTGAGGCCAAAAAAGATCATTCGGTCGAGGTGCACACAAAATTTTTTAGGCGAGTGTTTGTTCTTGAGAAAAGACGAACATTCAACAGTAGCTTTAAACTTTTATTGATGAAATAAATAATCCAGCAAAGATAGGTAGATACATAATTATTAGGAACAAAAACTACGATAAATAAAGTGGAATTATAGAAAATTGCCGACTTTTTCGCCTGGTATCCTACATTGTGCTTTTTTAAAAAAGCAATCATTTTGAAAACTTGCTAATATGTTATTTTCTACTATAATTGTAAATTTTAACATAGAGTATACATAGGTGGGCCTGTGGACCATAATGTTGAGGATTTTTTAATTTTGGCATTTTCCGAAAAAAAATGCAAGAAAATATTTCTTCTCCCAAATTTTTAATCTTATGCTGTTTTCTTTAGAATTTTATGTGGAAATTTGGATAAAGGTAAAATTAAAAATTTGGTTTCATTGTGGTTGCTAACTAATTGTTTATTGGTTGTGTTGATGGTTACGGCACCGCGTTTTCGATTGTCTGGTTTCACCAAAGTAGCGGCCGTAAAGTAAAAGCGGCCGTAAAGTAATAAAGCAAATGCGGCCGTGAAGTAAATGCGGCCGTAAAGTAAATGCGGCCAAATAAGATATACTTTAGGGATGATATTGAATCCGTAAAACTAATCTTTTTGTGACAGTCGCCTAAAATAATTATTTTTTGGTTCTTATGAGTTAGGGCCGGTTTATTCACCTTCTGTTAAACTGTCAGGTATGCAATCTGACGGATATAAACGTAATATGTAATCCTATTGGTCAGATAGTTATCCGCCGACCAGAATTAAAGAATAGTCAATTTATCTTGCAGATAGTTACTAGCAAGTTTATCAGAGGATAAATAAACCGGGCCTTAGAGCCAAATTATGGACCGATTGGTTATGTCTTTGGCTGGTAAAACTAAAAATTGAATTCAATTTTAAGTTTTACCAACAGGATAAATTTGCCAATGACATTACCGCTCGGTCCATAATTTGGCCCTAGGTTTGTCTTTTGACGGATCAAACTGAAGGGTGTGGGGAAATTCCTTCAAAACCGTCGTGTTTTTTATATGAGCGGCGAGCGAAGAGTTGGCACCAGGGTCCTTATTCTTGAAACAGAGGAGCAGCGTTCCCAGATGAACGAATGTTCCGTCTTTCTCAATGATATACAAGTGATAATATATTAAGTAACAAAGACAGAACACTCGTTCTCCTGGGAACGCTGCTCCCCTGTTCCAGTCCAAAAATAAGGACTTTATTGTTGTGTGTGTGTTCAAATTTTTACTAAAGATGGATCAAAATGCCGTCAATGAAAAGAGTATCATAGATTTAATTGATTTGTATAGACAGTTTCCTTGTTTATGACGCATAAAGTCTTTAAACAGAACCTGCCACCGTCACTGCTAATAATTTTCTTCTGTCCATCGTGCGTGAACGACTGAAGATAAATATGGGATTCACATAGTGTGTAGGCAAAACAGCTCTACGAATTAGCACGAATTTCCGAATCGCAGTGATTCGAACGAATGGAAAATAACGGAATGTGGGGGCCTTTAGACAAACAGGGCCTCGCCAAACCACTCTGCCCCAGGTCCAAAATCTGAAGTTACGCCACTGGATAGTAGCCGTTTATACAAACCGAGAGCTTTTGCTTTACTCTTATGATCTATGGTTTGATCGGTAATTATTTCATCTAACACTTCAAGAATGGCCTCAAAAGAAATATTTACTGCCTTTAGGGTCTCAGCAGGGGCAGTCCACCTAGTTTTAGATAAATTTTTTAAAAGTATTGAATTTTCAACCCCCTCCAATTTTGCTTTTAAACGGTGAATTTTTTTTGTGTTGGATGAGAAAAATACATAAAGCTCTTCTAGAATGTCAAAAGTGTCTGATATTATGGTGCTAGCTCTACAGCTATGTTCTACAGCTGTATTGGTTCGATGAGCTTGGCAAGGAATAAATATAACATTGTGACCAACCTTATCAGACATTTTTTGTTGGGTACCATTAAAACAACCTGACATTGACGCTGCGAAATCATAAGACTGAAAAGACAATTTAGACGTATCAATATTATTATATAACATGATAACATTTTCAATATTTCAGTGGCTGTGCCTTCGCCAGTCTTATCATTTACAACAGTAATACCCAAAAGTCTTTCTCTAGGACATCCACTATTATTAACAGTGCGCACAACAACTGACAAAATTTCATTATTCGCAACGTCTGGTGTATGATCAGCCATTATAGTAAAAAACGGAGCTTCTTGAATTTCATCTAGCCCTAAAAGATGAATGAACTCATTTTGAGACTCTGCGCTTAAATAAGTGACATGATAGGGTCGCAACATTGAGTCGTCCAGCCATTGTTTAAGTGTCGAGTTGTGTCGAGCAAGTAGTTTTACAATTTGAGTGAAATTGCTGTCTTCCTCAACGTTGCCACGAAAAGCTACGCCTTGTTTCGCTAAAGTCTGGGTAACATCAAATAACATTTTCACAACATTTCTATTGAAAACTAAAGTCTTTTCTTCTTCTATCATTAAGTTTCTTTTTTTTTTATCAAGAAGAATATCAATATGACCCGCTTTAACTAAAAAGTGGCAATAATCAGAAAGAGCCGCCTTGTGAGCACCAGAATTAAAGTGAAGGTGAAGCTTCCCGCTCTTTTCTCTGCCAGAACTTTTCATTTTCCTCCAGTTCCTTACGCCTTCAGTTCTCCATGCCGATTCTGACTTACTTCTTCCTGGACCAACAGGAAACATATAGCACACAAAACAAAAAGCTGCATCTTTAGATGTACTGTACTCAAGAAATTCGAACTCACTGTACCATTCAGGACAAAAGCTGTTTTTTCCATCATTAGGAAAAACTTTCAATTTTGGTTGGTGAGGTCCGAGATTCATTAGATATTTCTTTTCTTGGTCAGATAAAACTTCTTTTCTTAAACCGGGATCATGTGGGATAATATCTGCTGCATTTTCATTGTGATCAATTTCTGCGACTTCGTTAATTTTTATTCTTCTTCTAAAATAAATCTGGCACGACTCTATCAAATTACCACACACGGAATTTATATCATTTGCCAATTCAAAAATTTGAGTAACTGTAACTAACTCATCAACTATTGTGCTGGACTTGATAGTTTTAATTAAATTATCTGAATTTCTAAGTTTTTCAGCTAGAAAAGCCAAATTGCCGGTACAAATACCCCAGATTTTGGATAAGTCACTTTCTTCACTCACTTCAATTAATTCCGTAGATGTTGTTTTTGTTTGAGTTTCACTATTGCCAACATCTAAAATGTAAAAGGTATTTTGAAAAAGAATAATATTCAACTTAACATTTTTTGACAGGATTAAAATTTAATTAAGTTCGTAATTACCATCACAGTCACTCCGTATTTGTGATAATATACCCAACTCATCAGTTTTTTCTTTCTCAATCACCTCTACACAAGCCTCTACATTGGCTTCACCTTCACCTTCTCCAGGATCTAAAAGAACAGTATATTCAATGTCACACATTTTCTAATGGAGGTCCCAACTCAAAAATTATAAGAACATATTTCTTTTGTTAAACTAATATATTTATCTTGGTATACCCACCTGCTAAAGCCTCAGCAGGTAATTCATTGATTACAATATCAGATTCTTGCACAGTTCCTGAATTATTTTTAGCAATATTCATCATTCCTGACGTTGCTTCTGCTAAATATTCTGCAAAATTATTGAAGTCTGAGGAATTTGATCATTAAAATTACGCTCAACATTTTTTAAGATAACAATTGAAAATCACCCTTTTGCGAATCAAATTACATACCCGATATACATACCTCTAGCAAACGATGTCGAGGGCAAAGTTTCTGTTTTTTGCCGTTTTGCTGAAGCAGCTAGAACAAATGGATTTTCTGGTGCTCCAACCATTTTTATTTGCACAATTTTTCCATCATGTTTCTTTCTTTCGTGCGTGGTCTTATAGTCTCTGTTAAATTCGGATCCACACGCTAAACATTTCACTTGAAAACGGCCACTTTTACCTTTTTTGTTCATTTTTATATTTTTATTAATTAAAAATTTAGGTATATCAAAAATAAAATATGCAATGCTATTTGCTATCACCTATCACAAATTCAGAAGAGCGGAAAATCCAAAAAAATATGCAAATTCGTATTCAACGCACAGGACTTCTTTTGCTGAAATTTAAATATCAAGCGAAAAATGCGCAGAACGCAGAACGGCAGAAGGAAACATGGGAGTTTGGAGCGGAGTACTCTGGATATCTTATATTGTCCATCTCTCTCATGCGCATGCAGCAATAAGCAATATAATTACGTTGGTCTTGAATAGTGCTAGTGCCACTACCATTATTGCCAATTTCCACACGCTAGTGGCGCTAGTGCACATACCAGGATTAAGGGGGGGGCTAACGGGGCTGCAGCCCCGGGCCTCGCGGTCCAGAAGGGCCCCGGAGGGGCCCTACTTTCGAAATTGAGGCTTATGCTGGTCAGGAGCCCGTGGGCGAACAATAAATATTAAATGCACTAGTCTTTCGCGTCATGTTTCGCAAAATTTATTAAATTAAAAATAAATATAGAACAACAATGCAGAAGGAACGCTTATCTTCATCAACATTGATGTGCATAGAAAGAGACATTCTGAAGGAATTAGAATTTACTGTCATACAAGAATTTGTTAGCTAAACTTAAGTTTAGCTAAAAAAAAAAAAGATATTTTGACATATTTGTTTAAAGCATGTTGTAGGTATAGCAGTGTCAGACTGTTATATCACGAATAAAGTTTTTACTATATACAGGGTGTCCCACGACGTTTTTTCCAGGTAATAACTTCGGAATGCGTCATCCAATAGAATTGAAATTTTGAGGATTTGGGTAACTTTTTGTGCCGCTTCTACAATTGTCATCCAATTTCACTACTTTCACTTCAATCTCGGTCAAGTGGCGTCAACTTTCGAATCTTATATGTAACTCATGGTATATTATGCCAGTTTTCGTTAGAAAATATAATCACAAAATCGGCAATGCCAAATTTGTTAAAGAAAATGATTAAAAAAAATATAAAGTGGAACATACGATGATGCGTTCCGCAGTTATCATTTAGGAAAAACCTCGTCGAACACCCTGTATATATTTTTTTGCACTTAATTTATGAAGGGGCCCCCTAAAACTTCACTAGCCCCGGGCCCCATGAAAGCTTAATCCGGCCATGCTAGTTCAAACAAGTGCAACGCAAGAGATCGCCGCGTCCATCGGGATTTCTTTATCCTATTAGTCCGGTGATTTTGGAATTGAATTCGACACGCGACACGATCCTAATGCTAACTTTAATTAGTCCTCGCAAATAAGGTGCGCAAATTTTTATTATTTTTATCTATCAATTTTTCCCAACTTTAAATTTTTTATGCCAAGTTTTCCCAACTTTCGATGTACTTTAGAAACAACCCCCCCCCAAGGCTCCGTCCCTGCCTTTATTAGCCAGCAAGCATTTAGTCAGGAGGCACGGGTCAGGTAACCGCTTATGTACAAGATTATATTGGTTTGAAATTTGCGTTATCCAACAAAGAATTTTGTTTTGTCGGAATCTCGAATATCTATGGCGGCGACTATACATAGGTTGCCAGTAATCGACACTCGAATGACCTAAAAACTTGGAGGACATTCTTTCAGAAATTTCTTGTCTAAGTAAAGCTGTCTAAGCATAATTGTTTTCAGAAGCATTTTTTGTACCATCCTTTATTGGGGTGTTAGTGTGGTGAATTTGTTAGTATATTCAATTTTGACTAAGGGTAATTTAATAGGATTTTGAAGCAGTAAGCAATGGTGCTGGCAATGTGAATTATAGGAAGCTTTTCCAGGCATCAACCAACGTAAAGTCAAGGATATCCCAGTCCTAGTTTGCGAATTTATTCGCTAATCAGAGGATGAAAGATTCCCTTAGCCAGCCCTCTACGCGTTTCGTCCTTATTTGGACTCATAAGAAGGACATAGGCTTATGAGCTTCCTGTTAAAGCAATATTCAACTTCAACGATGAGCTAGAAATAACTACTCCGAGGCAAATACCACTGCCGGCATTGAATATTTACACTAACTGCTTTAAATTTCCGTTGGCAATCTATATTGTAGGAAGGTTTTCCCAGGTATTAACCAACGTGAAGTCAAGACGTCACACTCCTAGTTTGGAAATTTATCTGCTGATCTTCGGATGGAAGATTTCCTATCTAGTCTTTTACGCGTTTCGTTCTTATTTGGGCTCATCAGAAGGGCATATGAGCTTCCTGTTCAAGTGATATTGAACTTTGTCAACGAGCTAAAAACAACTAATTCGAGGGCAAATACGCTTACTTCCCTAAACGGTATTGAATTACAATAACTGGTCTAAATTTCCTTTCGCAATGAAAATTGTAGAAAGGTCTTTCCAGATATTAATCAGCGTGAAGGCAAGGACGTCACAGTCCTAGTTTGGGAATTTATCCGCTGATCTGCGAATGCCAGATTCCCTAGCCAGTCCTTAACGCGTTTCGGGCTTATATTTGGACTCATTTGAAGGACGTAGGGTTATGAGCTCCCTGCTTAAGCAATATTGAACTTTGTCGAGCTACAAAAACCAACAACTCCGAGGTCAACTACCCCTATATAGTCGCCGCCACAGATATTCGAGATTCCTACAAAAAATAAATTTCTTTGTCGGCGATGCCCCGATAAACAAAAACTAAGGGTTGAGAATAAATTTAGTCCAAGAGCATCAATTTTGGATTCGATTAAGTACTTGATTTCTTGCATTAAATATTTGAAAGATCTTTTAAGAAAAATGCGAAATAATTATAAACATTATTTACAACAATTTAAACCGAATAATTTCAAACCAAAATCTTGTACTTGAGCGGTTCCTGACACGTGCTCCCTGACTAAATGCAGGCCGGCTGATAATATAAACATCCTTTTTTGTACGAATCTCTAATATCTCTGGCGGATACTATACCAGCATTGAATTACAATAACTGGTCTAAATTTCCGTTCGTAAAGTAAATTGCAAAAAGGTCTTTCCAGGTATTAACTAACGTTAAGAACGTCATAGAACTAGTTTGGAAATTTATTCGCTAATCGAATGGAAGATATATAATTATTGTGGTTTTAATCGTTTATATTAACCTTTATAATATCTTGTTGTAGCCCTGAAGAAGGCAATAAAAAAAATTCGAAAGGTTGGCTCGGCGGTAAAAGAGAGTTTTCTTTCTTAGCCCTTGACAATGAACGATATCTCAAGAAACTTCCATTGTGAATAATCATATATTATACAAATATATATTATTATCGATCTATAGCATTCTACGTCAACCGATTCCCAATGTCCAGCCATTTCTGTCAATCCATGCATTTTTCTTCAAGTATCTGTCTCTCATTTTCTCGTCCACTTCAGTTCTCGCAGCTTCTTCTCGGTCTGCCGCGACGTTGTCTACCCCCTGGGTTCCACTCAACGATTTGCTTAAGTATTTTCGTATCCGCCATCCTCTCTACATATCCAATCATCTACTATATTGTGTTTCTTAAGTTCATAATTTCTCTAATTCTTAGGTTTTTTATCCTTTGCATTTTTGACCTGCCTGCCACTCTCCTCCAAAAGTCCGTTTTAGTTTTTTTTTGCGGTTCTCTTCTTTAGTGGTCTCTGGAACTATGTTGTAACTTTGCTTTCGACGATGGTATTCTAGATTCTGTTTGTTCTGTTTATTTTGGTCCCACAGCACTCCATTCAGTAGGGCCTTCCGTATCCTTGTACAATCCGATCTTTAATTGCTGCGTCTATAGGGTTCCTTCATCTCATGAGATTTTGAAAATCTGATTTTCATTCTAAAATATTTGTACTAGGTGCACTGTTTTATTTCTTGACCTTCATTCGTTTTCAGGTTCCATTGTTATCCTCCTATGGTCATAATATATTCTGTTTTCGTCAGAAATCGCATCCCCACGTGTCTGCATTTTTCCATCCCTGATGCGATTGTTTCAAGTTAATTTTAAAAAGTGTTACTGAAAATTGAAATGCAGCATCCGTGTTTGGGTCCTTTAGTTGCTATAAAGCCCTTTCTGATTAGGATTCCTTGTTTTATCTTGGTTTTTCCTTCATAACAATATAGCGGTTTAACTGGATTGATATGTTGCTCCCATACCTTATAAATTCTGCATGAATTTCTCCTGGGCATGAAGCTCTTTCATTTTTACGGAGCTACACTGTTTTTTAACTTCTTCCTTTTTAACTCTTATGGGTGTTCCTGCGATTTTTATGTTTTGTGCCTGTTTCTATTTCGTGTTTGAACTCTTCCCGTTATTCTGTCAGTAATTCTTCGAAATACTCTTTTCATTCTGGGGTGTTATTGTCGTAATACCTATCCTTGGTTTTTGTTGTCCTATAAATAGAGAAATAATTAACATCGGCTTCTAACAAGCTTTGAAAACTCCCGATTGGCATGAATAGGATGTGTGGGATAAATTGAAATGAAAAGTGATTTTTATATTTGACGCTGATGGGGCAAATAGATACAGCAAAAACAAAACATAATGATTAGCTCCAGACATGATACCTACAGTTTGTAACAAATTTCCCACCTATTCTGACCGAGAGCTCTAAGAGCTTATTGACTAAAACCGATAAGCCAAAATAAATGGAAGTTAATTTACTTGTACATAAAATAAATAAGAAACCAAACTTTGATAGATAAAAGCAACACAGGCTAGTCGCATTTTCTCATACGGTTCACGGTCATACGTGTTAATTTTTAATTTTTATGCCTTATCGAAACCTCTTATTCACGTTTTTTTTTTATATATCATTCAGGCTGTGACATTTCTGTTGTTTATCTTATTTGCTTTGAAATAATTTATAATTCGTGAGTAATGAGTCAATAAATAAAGAAACGTTCACAAATTAACAAAATTTGTGCTGAATTGCCAACATACTTTTGCCATACCAATGCACTATCAAAAAAATAGAATACTTTACATATTATTGACCAAGCAATTTTGAAATTTATGGATTTTTC